ATTTCTAGGCTGACATTGTTGGTGGTGCTTACGCTGGTCCCTAGATAGACGAAATTATCTACACCTTCAAAGCTATGACTGTCAACAGTGACGTAAGTGCCAAGTCGCGAGTGCGACGACTGTTTGTTTGATGCCAGGAGGTATTTCGTCTTGCCCTCGTTCACCGCCAGACCCATTTGTGTTGCTTCTTTATCCAGTCTGGAGAAAGCAGAACTAACGGCGCAGGTGCTGAGACCAATGATATCAATATCATCGTCAGACGCCAGTAGCTGTACACTCTTATAGAAGATGGTACCTTCTCTATTTAGTTCTGCAGCTCGAACTGTTTTCTCCAGAAGCAGGTTGAAAAAGTCGCACGATAAGGAATCGCCTTGTCTAAAACCTCGTCTGGTATCGAACGGCTCGGAGAGGTCCTTCGCGATTCTGACAGAGCTTTTGGTGCTGCTCAACGTCAGCTTACACAGCCGTATAAGTTTTGCAGGAATACCAAATTCAGACTTCGCGGCTTAAAGGCAGCTCCGTTTCGTGCAGTCGAAAGCAGCTTTGAAATCGACGAAGAGGATAACTAACTCAAACTTTTCAAAAGTCATTTAACCTAATAATATAACATATAAATGAAAAATACTTTAACAAAGAACAATGCAACTCATAAAAACAGATGATTTTATGATTAACGTTTTAAATGCAAATATTTCGCACTGGTTTTGTCGAATACTTTTTGCGGTTTCATTTCTGTCATACCGCCTTCTTGAATGTCAGCTGTTAAAAAGGAGAGGGCACAATAGACCAAAGGTCGCAGTGCATTCTTCATCATTCTTCATTCATTCAGCTGTTAAAAATTCTCTAATTTCAAATTCATAGAGAGAAATTGGAAAAATAAGATATTCTCGGGTACGTCGTAGGTTTATACAATCGTCGTTCACTGTCAAAATTTCACTATTCGATTGAAATTAGTGGTTTACTATTCCTAAAATTAGTTTGGTTGATTTACTGTAACTTTAATTTAACCGATGGGAATTTTCAAAATCAATATTTATATAAATTCATTACAGTGTTATATATATTCATATAAATAAATTGTAACAATTGTTGTATAAGAATGCGTTCCTAATTATGAAATAATTAATCAATTGAAGAAAATATGATTACAAACAATCAGGTTTGTTTGTACACCATATATATGTCGAGCAACGGTGTAAGAAGTTGTACATCAGATTTGATCACTATGGCTTGGTTTAAATAGGAGCCACTAATATAATTTTTGAAGGTCTGGCAATATTGCAACATTATCTATATCTTATTGGCGAGTTATTATTTGAGTGTAAGTGCGGTTGATGTGTATTTAATAACAAAATTTGCCGAATTTAGTAGAAAGGTTATTATGATTATGAATAATTGACAAAAACGATCTTAAGAATTTTATGATGTGAAGATTACAGCTTTTGCTTTGAGTATTGTAATTCTCATTTTAAAGTTAAGTGTTTGTGCTTTGCAGGAAATAGTGCATGTTTTATATGGTACATTCGCGTAAAATTGTCGTTTGTGCGTGTGTAAATAGTTATACATTAAATGAGACCAGTTGGCTATGATGTTGTCATAGCCTAGAGCAATAATTACAAGCTTTGTGATGTTGTCATAGTTCACAACCGTATTATGTTCGGGTGTGTGAATTTGTATACTTCTATCATTAGCAAAAAAAAAAAAACGGGTGGTGCCTTGTACAGTCGAAAATTAAATTGGGTATATTTTTTGAATTATTAAACAAGTGTTTTGTTTTATAGGCTACTATTTAGAATAGCATCCCCCGATGTCGGGGTTAAAATGGGTATGTACGGATTGAGGATGTCTTCCAGATCAAGAAAAAATATATATATAGTTGCCGCTGACTTATGGTTTTTGAGATAGTTGCATTTAAAGTTTAAAAATTCAACTATTTAAAACGAGTGTTTCCCCGATTTATAATACATTGTACAATTTTATTTTATACTTTTATATCCAAACACTACACTAATTAATTTCTCATCATTTATTTTATATTAAATAGTGCAAAAATAACTTTAATTAAATATCAAACTTTAGTTAAAATCCATTTATTCATAAAAAAAGAAAGTGGTTGTAAAAGGAATTACTGTTACCATATTTTGTAATGGAGTAAAAATATGAAAAAAGAAAGATTATGACGTCATAACTAAGTTCATTAAATGTGTGATGAGTAATGTAAAATCTTACAGAATTCTCATTATCTTGATATATCCCGGTGTTGGATCGGGCAAAAAGGAGTTCAACGCAAACAAACTGAGCACGCCCAGGTGTTGGGCCGACCAAGGGTTTTTTTTTAAGCACGGCCGAAGGCCTCCAAACTGAAAGAGGGGTTCAACGCAAAATAAGTGAGCACGCCCAGGGTCGCAGAAAGGAATTCTACGCAAAAAACTATTGTGTTACATATTTCCTGTCATTGGGGTATTATTTGTTTTCTTTATTTCTTTTGGTTC